AAAATATCTGGGGGTTACCCTATCTGTTTCCAATGTAAAATTGTATAAAAACAATTATGAAAGGCTGTGGGTCAGGATACAAAAAGATTTGAAAAATTGGGAGAAGTTACAGTTATCTCTTATGGGAAGAATTGCAGTGATTAAAATGAATGTCCTGCCAAAATTTCTCTTTTTATTTCAAATGTTACCTATTTTAAAGAATGAGGTTAATTTAAATGAATGGCAGAAAGGTATCAACAAATTTATTTGGGCAGGAAAAAAACCAAGGGTAAAGCTTAAAATTATGCAAGACTTCCGTGAGAGAGATGGACTCAAGTTACCGAATCTGAAATTATATTATGATGCTGTGGCTTTAACACTAATTAGTGATTGGGTTGATTTAACAAATGTAGAAATACTCCATTTGAAGGGTTGGGATTTACTTTTTGGATGGCATGCCTATCTAATTTTTAATAAAAAAGTGGATCGGGTTTTTAAATCTCATATTATAAGGATTTCTTTACTTCGGGTTTGGAGGAAATATTATAAAAGTGAGTTTAAAATACCATTATGGGCTATACCTTGGCATGCGATAGAGGGGATAAGAAGAGGAGTTAAGATGGATAGTGTTTCTTATGCGCAATTACTCAGGTGGGATGGTAAAAATTGGCAGTTAAAATCTTTGGAAGATTTAGCACATGAAAATATTATATATTCATGGTTTCAGTATAGACAAATAGCTGATAGATGGAAGATAGATCGTAATGTGGGTCTGCTCAGAGAAGATGAAAATCTTTTTAAACAAGTAAAAGATCAAAGGCGAACTCACATTAAGAGAATTTATGGTGTGCTAGTAGAACTGGACTCAGAATCAGAACTAATTAAAGAATGTATGATTAAATGGGCACAAAATTTTGGTGAACCAGTTCTACTAGATACCTGGGAAACCATCTGGGTGAGGAATGTTAAATTTACACAAGCCCAGAACTTAAGGGAGAATTTTTACAAAATGTTTTACAGATGGCACCTTGATCCACAAAAAATGTCTCGTATGTATCCTGACTTACAGCCTAAATGTTGGAGATGTGGTTGTTTGGATGCTACTTATTATCATATTTGGTGGTCGTGTAAAAATATAAAAGTCTTTTGGATTAAGATATGGTGGAATATTCAAAGAATTTTTAGAAAGAGGGTAAAATTTACCCCACAATTGTTTTTGTTAGGTATTGTTACTGATTGTGATGCTAAGGAAGTTATATTGATGTTAAATTTGATTACGGCCGCTAGGCTGTTAGTAGGGCAATATTGGAAGAAGGAATCTTTGCCTACCTTGCAAGAGTGGTTTTTTAAAGTTTCTTATCTGGCAGAAATGGCAAAGATTTCGGCTTTCGTAAAGGAGCAGTCGCAAGAGAAATTCTTTGCGGTATGGGAAAAATGGATAAATTTTATACAATATAAATTGGATATAAAAAAATATCATTTAGCTTTTTTATAACTTGTATATAAACTTTGATATTTTATAGATTGTACTTTTTTATATCTCTTTTCTTCTTTCTCTTTTTTTTGTTTTTTATTATCTCTTTTTCTTTCAAGTACTTTTTCCTTTTAATACGTATGCTTTTTCTTACATATATTTTATTGTTAATTACTTTATAAATTGTTTATGTAAGGTATTTAGATATATTTATGATTTATATTTTTCAATTTTTTTAAGATTCTTAAAAATTTTAATTAAGCCTATATTCAGCTCTGGGAAGATCGGGGGGGATGGAGAGGGAGGGTTGGGGTGGGTGGGTTAGGGTTGGTTTTTTTTGTTTTTTTGTTTTGCTTTTTGTAAAAATATCTAAAAATTTTCAATAAAAAAAAAGACTAGTGAAAATGTTTAAAAATGCTTCGAACAACTGTTGGAAATATAAACAAAAGCCAGGTACCTACTATCATAGCTGATGAGTATGCCCTAAAGCAAAAAAATTCTGGCTTAAGATTCATACATGGTTGAAAAAGATGACTCAATACAGATAGAATTTAAACCAGAATTGTTTATGTTAGGAATACTAGGAGCCAAGTATGAGAAGGAGAATGACTATTTAATATTGCATATATTGACAGCAGCGAGAATAGCATTTGCCCAATACTAGAAAAATGAAAATTTACCATCTGAAAAGATCATAATTAAGAAAATTTTAGAATGTGCAGAAATGGACAGACGAACTTTAGAGATTAAAGAGAAAGAAGATTCAGTTTACTTTAAAACATGGGATAATGTTTACCAATGGTTAGCAAAACGAACTAGTGAAAAATGAATGTGATATCTTATCGTGAATATATACTAGTAAGATGAAGGATATGTATTGATTAACTGACACTGTTTATGATTATTGTTTCTCATATTCACTATAGCTATTTACTATTATATGAATTAGTGTTATTGAACATATGTATCCGGACAATAGTCTGTTTGCTAAAGCTTGAAAATGTTTATGGGGGTAACACCATTGTTGTTCCCATCCCTGTCCCAATCCCAACCCTGATTCCCACCCCAAATCCCTACTCCCATACTGACCCCATCCCCTCCCTAACCTTATAAAACTCAATAAAACTTTATTTAAAAAAAGCTGTGTGGTGTATGCCACCATGAATAGGATTCCGGGAAAGCCCCCTGGACTATTACAACCAATTGCGGATCCTTCCTAGCCATGGGAAGAAATTGCTATGGATTTTATAGTTGAGTTACCTGAGAGTAGTGGAAATACGGTGATTTGGACTGTGATTGATCTTTTTTCGAAGCAGGCTCATTTCATTGCTGCAAAGGACTCCCGTTGGCCGAGAAATTAGCTAAGATGTTTCTTAAGCACATTTACAGGCTGCAAGGCGTGCCAAGGCAAATAATCTCTGACAAAGGAGTGCAATTTATGGCCAAATTCTGGAGGGGTTTTCTCAAACTAATTGGCTCATCGCAGGGACTGTTGTCGGCTTTTCATCTGTCTATGAATGGGGCAGCTGAAAAAGTGAACTCAGTGGTGGAGCAGTACCTCAGATGCTATGAGCTATATAGATTATCAGCAAACAAACAGGACCGATCTCCTCCCTTTCACAGAGGTGGCTTATAATAACACTGTTCATAGCAGCACTGGTTTTACGCCTTTTAAGATTGCTACGGGAAAAGAATTCAACCCAATACCTGAATATCCTCAGGGACCCTCTGCTTCCCAAACTCTTGACCAGTGGCTGAAAGGGTGGGGAGAGATTTGGAACAAAACAAAACTCACTCTGAAAAAGGCTTCCAGAACATATAAAAAACAAGCGGATAAAAAGAGGGCTCCCCAAAGGTCGTTCCAGGTTGGGGAAAAAGTTTACTTATCCACAAAATATTTACAACTCAAGTTGCCTAGTAAGAAATTGGAATCGAAATACCTCGTTCCCTTTCCCATCGTAAGAATAAATCCAGTTACGGTGAAGTTAAAGCTTCCCAGACTCTTAGGGGAAGTCCACCCTGTGTTCCATTGTAGCCTATTGAAACCTTTTCGAGGTTCTACTCTACGACCTCCCCCAAGAAGGCACCTGGCCCGCTGGTGGTAAACAGACAGACGCATTATGACGTGAAACGTATTCTTGATTCTAGACTTTACAAGGGAAAGTTGCAGTATTTAGTACAGTGGAAAGAATATCCATTATCCGAGGCCACTTGGGTAAAATCTAGTGATGTAAAAGCCGACAGGCTTATTCATAAATTCTATGATAAACACCCTAATAAACCAAGAGGCAAGCCAAGCTATGGTTTTGTTTGAATTGCAGGCTTTATCCTTTTTGTAAAGGGGGGCCGGATGTCAACACTGTAACAATGGATGTTCCTGCTCTGACAACTAATGGAAATTGCAGCCATTTTTACTTTGCTTTAACATGCTTTTTCTTGTTTAGAAATCAAGTGTGGAAGGGGGGATGCGTGAATGCTTAAGCTCAGCTAGCCATAATAATAATGCAGCTCCATGGGAACTCAAGGACACAAACCGGTAACATTTTGCCAGACTGAGGAGCTGGGGAGAGAGCCTGTGCTCCGGGATAATTGGAGAATGTGATTTATGACTGCTTTGTGGGGGTGGGACTTGCAACTTATTACTTTGTATCTGGGGGAAGGGAATCTAGTTTTGGATTCAACTATGTAGTGCTGATACTTTGTTTCCTGAATAAAATGTTCTCTAAGGAAGAATTCTTGCTTTAAAGTTCTTTACTGGATTTCATCTATCGGAACCATGACATGTGGATTTAAAGGCCACCAAAAATACTAGAATTTCAGAGATGCAACCTAGGAAGCGTATCAGTTCCCTGACATCTTCAGAACTGGTTTCTCTCTCAAAACTCCAGCACTAGCAACAAAGAGAAAATGTTGTTGATCCAGTGGAACTAATATCCTATCTGTTTTGAAATCTGAAGGAAACAAATTTCTCAATGATCTCAACATGAGAAAATATTCACAGGCACCTAAATCAATCAAACAAACAAATGAAGTTGTATGCATGCTCTTTAAGGAGAAAATTCTTCAAGAATTTCTTTCTCACTTCTGTAGTTTTGTTTCTCAAGATGTGGAAGTTGTTTGACTTCCTCAACATTACTAGTAAGGAAACCTGAACAGCTAGGCATTTTACTTTGATTTTTGTACTTCCTTTTTAGTTAATGCCTTTGTGCCTATGATTTATTATTGATCATTTGACCATTGTATTTAAAAATGTATATTTGATAAATCTGTCTGCTCTATATTTTCTAGATTTTTTTTTAAAGTAATTCAGCATGATTGAAATAGATAACATGCTGGGCATAAATGTGATCCGTAAGATTTCTAAATTACCTTTTGCTTCAAGAGCATACAACATGTTTTTTTTTTCTTATTTGCACCAATGCATATGAAACACTGTTTTGATTTGATTAAATTATATTAAAATATTATATGTATTGTATGTAACAGAACAGTAGCCATATTTTAATACAATAGTAATGACAACTTTTTCTCTGAAAACATAGTATACCTCGCCAATGATGTCAGTTTGAGAACAAGCATCACAATATAGTTGAGATAGATTGGAGTCATTGAATGAATCAGAACTGTGCTGAAGATCATGAAAAGATTCTGTAATGCAAAAACTATTTCTGAATCCATCCGTCAGCTTGGCCAGACTCTTGAAAAAAAAAAAGAAACATTAAGAGCACAATTATATGAAGCTTTTTCATGGTTTAATAGTTTTTTTAAAAAAATAGCAAAATAGCAAAAAAAGTTCACAAAACTTTCCTTAGTTATGGAAAAAATAGAGAGCACAATCTTTACAAGGAAGAAAGTTTAAAGAAATATTAAATAGAACACAAACATTTTAAAATAGCTCCCAAGTGTATAAACACAACAATAGCCATGGACAAATCTGAAACCAAACAGTAAAAATAATATGCTAAACCCTCTATGAAGGATGCTTTTATTTCTTAATTTGAGGCAACTACCATCCAATAGAAATAGACAGATGGTAGGCAGCTGTGTTCTACAGATCTCTTAAGCCAGGGGTATCAAACTGCCGGCCTGCAGGCCAGATGCGTCATGGCGAAACCATGCCCATCCCATTGCCAGTAATGGAAAAAAAGTCGCAATACTTCACGAGACGTTGCAAGTTTGATACCCGTCTTCAGCAATTCTGTAGCATTCATCCATTGTAAAAATAAAAAGTATCTTTTAAGAAAAAAAACCCACCCTTTCTTACAGCACAAACTTCAATGCTTGCACCTTTATTTAGAAATTTTGGGTTTCAATCAGATTATTCCTCCAAAACCAAGCTGAAAGAAGATTAATTTATCACTTTATAATTTAAAAACATAGCTTCCTGACTTGTAACACAATTTACTTATTTTTATTTTCAGTTCATGAAAATACTTGGTTTATAAACTGAATTCATTTGGATGGATTCTATTCCCCTATGGGATTTTTTTTTAAATTATGTTTTAACTGCATTTTAAAATCTGTTAGCAGTCAAGAACACCAGTCACTTCAATGAAAATTAAAAATTAAAATAATACATACATACATAAAAAATGAACAAATGAACTTCCACACTGCAAAGAATATAACAGTATAGGTAGTCCTCAACTTACAACCACAACTGAGCCCTAAATTTCTGTTGCTAAGCCAGACAGTTGTTAAGTGAGTTTTGCATCATTTTGTGACCTTTTTGCCACAGTTGTTAAGTGAATCACTGCAGTTGTCATGTGAATCATGCAATCATTAAGTGAATCTGGCTTCCCCCATTGATTTTGCTTGTTGGAAGCTGACCGGGAAGGTTGCAAAGGATGATCACATGACCTCAGGACAGTCCAACTGTCATAAATACATGCCAGTTGCCAAGTGCCCGAATTTTGATCACGTGACTGTGAGGATACTGCAATAGTTATAAGTGTGAAAAACAGTCATAAGTCACCTTTTTCAGTGCTGTTGTAACTTTGAATAGTCACTAAACAAATGGTTGTAATTTGAGGACTACCTGTACCAATAAAGAGGGGTGAATAAACTTGTAAATGGAGAAGGAACAGTTCTCAAATTTATAAGAATTAAAGTGACGCAAACTTAGACTTTGGAGACATATGCTACAAGGTTTTAAATTCTGTGGTCTGTACATTATAAACATCAGAGACAAAAAAAGAAACATTTTTTAAAAAAATTATTCTGTGTAGGTTTTCTGCTTTCCTACTTAAACATTCCTGTCACTCTATTTGTCCCTTTAGCCAGGTTGAAGACAGTTGATTCATACTGCAAAGAATTTGAACCAACAAAGAAAACAAAACAGTTCTTTCTTGAACTGTTCTTTCTTGAATTTTTGTAATAGCCCGTTTCTATTATATTTCCAATGTTATTTTGATTTTTTTAAAAATAAAATTATTGTGGTAGTAATTTTGCTCACCTTAATCAACTATGTGTAAATGATATGATTTATAAATTGTTACATTCAAATGCTTATACATGATTATTGCCTTTCTTTTGTTTTTTTATACCAAGCAAGCACACACACAAAATAATAAATTACCAATCACTTTACTAATAAACTTGTTAGATTAAGTGATACATGTAAAATTTTATAAGATTTTATACTTTAGTTTAGAATATCCATCTACTGAAATTCTGTGGTTAGACTTTTGTGTACAGCACAAAGATATAAAGGAGATGGGTGATTTAGAAACAGGGAATATAAATAAAAATATCTTCAAACTAATATTGCTGTGTATTAATGATGCAAGTATAGACAACTTTTAAGTTCTTTTCATTAAAAAAAAAAAACCTGAATTGTTCCTTTGAACCTTACTAGTAAAACAACAGCATTTTTACTTCAATTAGATCATTTTAACTACCATACTATAATTTTAGATGTGATGAACATCTCTCTCTCTTTTTATACTTTTCAGCAAAATAACTATCATTAAATTTATAACGGATAGGATTTGTTTTAATGAATGCTGTCCATCTATTCCAAAATCATTATTAAAGCAATATTTCTTTATTTCTTTTAACTATATTTCTTAATTTCTTCTCATTTTTCTTTTTGGAAAAACTGACATTTTAAAATTTTCATAATTCTAAACCTTGTATAACTATGAATATTTTGCTCTTATATTTTAAAATACCAATATACATGATAATAGTCATGGCAGGTAAAAAGTAATATAATTAACAATACAGTAATGGATGATGACTTAAGAGTTATGGTCTACCTATATAGATACATGTATGTGACTCTTTAAAAAGAAAAGTAAATAACTTTCAAAGTTAGGTTGTTTTCAGCATTTATCTTACAATTATCATGAGGTCAACATTATCTTCAAAGATTAAAAAAAGATTAAAAAAGGTGTCTGTTCCAGCAACATTATAAAATTATAGCTCATCTGTAAACCAAGGCCAAACTCATAATAATTCCTTCATTTCATTCCAGTTCTAACAGATATTGGTAAATTCAAGATGAGTTAAATAAGAAATTGGCCTGCAAAATACCATTGCTTTTGCTGTAGTAGTGATTCCTACACTGGTCTAAGAGTTGTATTTGGTTAGCTATTTTAGATATGAAGTAATAATTGACATTACAGGTATAGCCAAGACAAAGTCAGTTAAAAACATTATTAAGAATTAGAAAAAATGTTTATATTTCTATCTATCTAATTTTTATAGCTACCCATCTCAAAGGCAAGTGACTCTGGGTATCAATACAACAAAATATGAAGTGCATATTTTCATGCTTCAAAAATATGCCAATCATTAAATAACAAAGTACAGTAATTCATTTTTTTTCTATTACTGGTTAAGAAAAAGGACATCCCTAAGAATTATAAGAGTTAGCAGACATTATAAAACCATAAACATTATTATTTACTTCTTACCTGCATTAAATCTTGCCTTTCTCTTTCACCCAAACATATGGCTTTCCTGATGCTTCGAAGTTCATTCATTATTGCTTGGGCTTCATCCAATTTATAATTCATATGAGAATTAGACATCTTCCGATCAATCCTAATACACAAACATACACTGGAAAGTTTACTCACTTTTGGTAATACGAATCTGAATAAACCTTGAAGTCTGATATTAAGATTTTTTTCCCTTTTTTTTTCAACTGGATGGTCAAAAGTAATGGTGGAGGTGACGAGTAGTAAAACCTTTTTCCGCCTTGCCGTTTATATTAAATTATGCAAAGTACTGTCCTTCCAACCCTTCCATCAATAGATACAGATAGAGAGGGAAAGAAGAGGTGGAAAAGTAAAAGGATCTACTGTATACAATTCACAGATGTCATGAGAAGGGAGACACTGTTCTTTACAAATACTACTTCAGTAACACCAGGAGAGTTATTTCTTAAGTAAAAACTATAGTTAAAAAAAAAAACCTACTCACACCACTAAAACTGAAAATAAAATAACATATAAAATTATTTTATATCATTATTTTATCATCTTTTTGTTGCCAACATTATAAAACATTAACGTGAACAACAGCCCTGTCCTTTTATATTTCAACTTACTCTTGTAGTGTTTCTACTCCTTTTTCCTTGTACTGTAGTTCTTGCTTCATCTGTGTTAATTCTCTCTTTAATCTAGAAAGCTTGAGATAAAACCATGAAGAAACAATTGTGCTGATAACCAAACAAATTATTGCAATTGATAGTTCAGCTGATGATCACAGTTTAGTTTCTTAATATAGGCTTGTTGAGTCTGAGATTACAGTATGAGCTTTCTGTGCTTAACTAAATTAGCTAATTAGACAGAAAAATCTAATAGCATTATATTTCTTCCAATGTACAATAAAATTTGCAATTTGATTTCAAACTGTATGAGCACTACTATGAAAACCAATATTACATTGTGATATTCAATGTTATTTTTAACATATTAATAAAAAATACATTCTTTGTCATAGACCAGCTTTAGATAATCTAAAACTATAAAATTTACAACCAGTATTTATAGCATGTTAGAGTATAAAATATAAAAATAATTAAAATATTAGAAATAGTATTATGTCATACTTCCCTAAATTAATCCCTGCATCCTAAATTGCAATTGCTTCTCAAAATGTTACCATAAATAAAAAAATCACACAATATAATGGCTTAATTACTACCAGAATGTATTATATACTTTCTGGAAAAAAAGTACTTTAAATATTTATGCATATATTACACCAATTTTTCCTAACAAGCAATAATTCTATTGTGGTAAAATATGAATTTAAATAATTACATTTAATATACAATATTTTTAAAAATGTTACTCACTCTATCACGTCGACTAGCTATTTCTGCTTTAATCTGAGACGGGTTGTATTTAGTGTTGGTTGAAAATCCTGAATATGCTGAAAATCAGAAAAAATAAGTATTCAAAATAAATTCTAGAAAATGTTCCTAACAAGCACAAGAAGGGAAGGGAATTTCATTCCGTTTCACAGAAAATTCTTATTTTGCTACTAATAAAGTGATAGCAGGTAATCTATCTGTTCATCTAAAATTATGTTTTCACCTAAAAGCTAAGTCCACTGTTCATCAAGAGATACAACATTAGTATTTATTTTACAATCAAGAATTAGAATTTAGCATTTTATAACATAAACGGTAAGGAAAGGGAAATAAACATATTACTCCAAGTTAGTGAAGAGTAGTATTTGTAATAATGTCCAATTACTTCAATTCAAAATACTGTATTGTATAGAACAGGGCTTTTCAACCTTTTCACCTATTGTACCACTTTTAGGATATGGCAATATCCGAGTACTACCAGTTGCCTAGCAAGGTGTCAAAAACTTGATGACCCCCCCCAAAAAGGAAAAAATGATGAAGTACAGGTAGTCCTCAACTTACAACAGTTTGCTTAGTGACTGTTCAAAGTTACAATGACACTGAAAAAAGTGCCTCCCAAGCCACAGCTGAGCAAGACACCTGCCTGCCCGCCCAGCAGCGCTCTTCCTCCTGTCTGAGATTTTCATTGTTGTGAGCATTTCTGTTGAGGACTGGCAGCGGGGGTGGGGTGGAGGGCTGTTTGGTTTTTATTCCCCCCACCTGCTGGGTGGTTGCAGCAGGTTTTGGTCACTTCACATGACCCTGGGACACTATGACTATCATAAATATGAATCAGTTGCCAAGCATCTGAATGTAAATCACAAGACCCTGGAGATGCTGCAACATTCCAGCTGATCAGCGCTTCTTCTGGGCTCAGCAGAAGTGCCAAGATCAGCGCTGAGCTCGAGTTGAAGCCTGGCACTGATCCTGGCACTTCCACTGAACCCTGACAGTCCCGAAGAAGTGCTGATCCTGGCACTTCCGCTGAGCCCTGACAGCCCTGCAGCTCCAGCCGTCTCTCGCTCAGGCTTGTGCGGTACTGCCACCAGTTCAGCTCATTCCTCTCCCCCGCTACCATTTTTCTTGGATGGTCGCGTACCACCTGCCAAGTGCCAATGTACCACAGGTGGTACCCGTACCACTGGTTGAAAAGCCTTGAATTATAATACTAAAAGTGAAGCTATTTCCTCTGCCAATTTTGATTTTTTTTCCCTTGCTACTTTCTTCATAAAGGTAGTCCTCTGCTTATGACCACTATTGAGCTCAAAATTTATGTTGCTAAGCAAGATATTTGCAAAATGAGTTTTGCCCCATTTTACAACTTTACTTACCACAGTTGTTAAGTGAATCACTTCAGTTGTTAGTAACATGGTTGTTAAGTGAATCTGGCTTGTCAGAAGGTCACAAAAGATGATCACATGACTTCAGGATACTGCAACCATCATAAATACATGCCAGTTGCCAAGCATCCAAATTTTGGTCACATGACCACGGGGATGTTGCAACAGTCATAAGCATGAAAAATGGTCATGTCATTTTTTTCAATGCCTTTATAACTTCAAATGGTCACTAAATAAATGGCTTTAAGTCAAGGACTACCTGTAGTTTATGGGAAACCTTGGTAATTAAAAAATAATAAATTGGCTTCCAGTGGGGATGCTGTGCTGATGGCAGCTTTTTTTGGGCTGCCAGCCCTGTGAATGTGTAAAAGCGCGCGGAGACAGTGAAAATCAACTGTCCTGCGGCTTGGAAATCTCCTCCTCAGGAGAAGAGGGGGGGAAGAGTTTACCTCAGGTAGAGGTAGAGCTCCCCTAGACCTCCTTAATTATTTGGAGGTCGAAGGGTGTGAGTTCCCTCGAAGCCAGAGGCTTTCTCCGCACTCCAGGATGCCTTTGCTCCGAGCTTTAGGAGCAAAGCAAGACGCTGCACCCACATCTGCATTTCAAAGGGACTTGTGAGTAATTTAAAAGCAGACGGAGCTGACCAGGAGAAGTTAAAATTGTGAATGCTTGAAACTTTAACTCGGGAGAAATAATCTTCTCTATATTTTAATTCGCCTTAAAGGAAAAAAATGGCGCCGGAATGTTGTTTCTTTGTTTGAAAGGACAGTGTTAAGAAAGAGCTACATTTGGAAACAAAGTTTAAGCAATGAATTAGACTTTGGTTATTTATTTAAAAAGCAAGAATTTTTACAGAATTTTTTTTCTTTTTCCTTCCTTTTTCTGGGATCTCGCTTTTTACTTTCTTACTTTGTAATTGTTGATTTTACACGTGGACTTATACAGACAGGAAAATGGCTTCAAAGCGTTTGGGAATTTCTGCTGTTCCTAAAAGTTCAATTTCTTCTCCTGTAACACAGCCTGCACTGCAAACTAAACCTAAATCCCCCCCACCTTCTCCCCCACCACCGGCATTTACGCTTAAAGATATTCAAGATGCTTTAAAAAAAGCGACACAAGAGATAAAGGAGGAGGTGGCCAATCTCCTCGACAGTAAAATGAAGAAAGAGATGGCAGAGCTTCTTGAGAATAAAAATAGAGAAATGAGGGAAGATATATTGTTTGCACTTCAAGGGTTAGCTACTCACATTGAACGCTTGGATGACTGGTTGGATGAAGTTGTGGAAAATACTGAAAAATTAGAAAGCAGAGTTGTCAAAGTTGAAAATAAGATTGATATAACAGAGGATGAAGTTACCATCTCACAATATAGAGATATGGAATTTGCATTGCGAATAAGAGGATTAAAAGAGAACTCATGAGAAGATCTGAAAGAGGAGGTGGCAGGAGCTATAGCTCCCATCCTGGGATGTGAACTTGAGGAATTATCAAGAGAGATGGATAAAATATTTAGGGTCAATTCATGGATTGCGAGGCAGAAAAGTTTAACCAGAGATGTGGTTATTTATTTTTCTAGGAGATCACTTCGAAATGAAATTATTCAGGCTTTTTATAAGCAGAAATTTCAAACTGCAGATCAAAATATTATAATCTTAAAAGAAATACCTCCAAAAATTCTTAGAAAAAGATTTTGCTTTTCTGTCTGAGGAGCTTAAAAATCAACAGGTTCAGTTTAGATGGGAGATACCTGTTGGAATAGTGGTGAATTATGCAGGGACACGATATAGACTTAACACAATTTCAAAGGCAAAAGATTTTTATACTTATGTCCTGAAAGCAGGTTCACCACCATCTTCACGACCTAAGAGAACGGAAGAAAGGCTGGAAGATAAACAGCCAGTTGAAGGCGCAATGTCATTGGTTGTAGGAGATTTAACGCAGGCTGAACCTATTGAACAGAGTTTGGAGGTAAAAGATGATTCAAAGGAACATAGGATGACTCGTGCTGTGTATAGACATAAAGAAAAGGAGCAGAAGCAGAAGGCTAATTTTGGATCAATAATACAAGGTCCGATTACTACAGAGCCTGTGGGAGGGACACGACCGAAGAGACCAACGGCTGATCTTCAAATAGTATTCCAGAGGCTTCAGGCCACTAAGGATGGCAGTTTCTGACATGGAATGTTAATGGTCTGAATTCACCACAGAAAAGAAAGAAATTATTTCACTACTTGAAACATAAGAATGACATTATTTGCTTGCAGGAGACTCATATTGCTGTGAAAGATCAAAAGTATTTGATTAGTTCTCAGTTGGGATCACATTTTATAGCTTCTGCCCCAGATAAAAAGGGGGGAGTAGTTATTTATGTAAGAAGAGATTTATCGGCTAGCTTAATTGAATCTGATACACAAGGAAGATATGTTATTATTTAGTGCTACAAGGCAAGAAATTTCTTATTATTGGATTATATACCCCTAATCAACAACAAAAACAGTTTTACAAGTTGTTACATCATAAGCTAACTCAATTGGATTATAAATCTGTTATTATGATGGGTGATTGGAATGATGTTTTGGATTCAAGTAAAGACAAGAAGGGATCTTTCAAAACTTCCAATCACTCTAAATTACCTAAAGCTTTTTTTGATCTGAAAGATGATTTGGAACATAGAGACATTTGGCGAGAACGGAATATGGAGGACAGAGATTTTACTTTTTTTTCGGATAGGCATCAAGTGTGAGTGAGAGAGCAAGTGAGGGGCTTTTGCGAGCAAAGGGTGAGAGAGAGAGCAGGGACGCTTTTATAAGCAAAGGGTAAGAGAAAAAGGGAAAAGTGAGGGGGAGAAGGGAAAAAGAAAAGGCACTGACTTCTGACTTCTGATGTTGTGGTAGAAGGAAGCATTAACATTGAACCTCAACTTTTTACTTTCCCATAATATTACAAACTAGCCATTTCAATAACAACAAATGAATCTAATCAGTAACGCCCCAAATCCCCCCCTTTTTTAATCATCAAGTTTTTGATACCTTGCTAAGCACTGGTAGTACTCAAATATTGTCATGTGAAAAGGTTGAAAAGCTTTGAATTAGAAAACAGGTGGTAAAGGTGCTGGTTGGCTAAAGTTTTCTAGGTATTTCACAATAAAGATTTATACACAGGCAAGTATATTTGCCTATAAGGGAGAGTGGTATTTAATGACTGTGATGCCTCCTAATTTCTTGACAAAGTACGGTAGAACAATGAAAATGGTACCACATGGAAGTGTATACATTTATCTTCACTTTGAGACTAAAGATTATTATCTAGCTGTAATTTATTGTTCTTTATTGCAAGGCATATTTGTCTTGGTCAGATCTACGCATCATATAGTTACATCTGGTGGCTTGTGAAAGTATTATTGCCTAACATTTCCAAGGAACAGTTGTGTGATAGTTTCCTTCAGAAGTCAAGATGCCTCCAAACTGTGTAAACAATACAGATAACTTCAGCTATAGTTGTGGTGAGGTCACATTTGCATCTCGAAAGTGCAATATGACAGCAGTTGTAAAAAAGGCATACCAATTATATTTTGAATGCAAAATAGGAGATCAGGACAAGAGTTGGGCCCCTCATTATTGTTGCATTACATGTGCAAGTTATCTGCGTCATTGGCTAAACAAGAAGAAAAAGTCCTTTCA